GCTGTACACTGATGCTGTTAAAGTGTAGGCAGAGTTGGAGAACTGTAGTTATGCATCTTCCCTCAAATGTTTATTTTTTAAGTCACTTTTATTTTGATTCTGAGCCCCAATCTCCCTGTGCTGAGAAGCCATCAATCTCAGTCATTCTCATTACCCCAACTGAGCTATGCAGAAGCCCTGCATCTTACTACTCATCTCATACCACACTTAGTTCTCCCTGAGATGCCTTTTGTTGTAATAAAGGCCCTCTAGGACCAGAGGTTCTGCTGCTTCTGTGCCAAAGAGGGGTATGGAAATCTCTGGTATCACTGGGAACCCTGTGTTGAGGGTCCACCCTTCTTCAGTTCCTCATATTGACAGCTGCTTTGAGATCTTATCATCTATCAGTCATTTCATTAGTCCTGCACCTTCCTGGAATTTGTTCATTGTTCCCATCTCTCTTCTATCCAATTTCAGTGAGATTTATCTCTCTTTTCCTTAAAGATACTAACCTACCCAGGATAACTAGCATTCTTTCTGAGCTTTTTGTTGTTGTTCTTTAATATTAACTGATAGGAAAGTGGTTTTCTCCAGATGGTAGGAAAGATACTTTTTTCTTTGTGTCATGCAAAAATCCTCAAGGAACATACATTTCTAAAGCTCTAAATACCTAGGCACCTGCTTGAAATAGAAAGAGAAGAAGAAGAAAAAAGAGAGAAACACATGTATCTCAAGAGTTGTCCTGCTACACAAAGATTAAGACATGGTTTCTGAGAGCCTAAATTCCGGTGCGAATGGGTGATCTATAAAAAAACTAAAGTTTTCTTATATAATTTTTATAAAGCTATTTCTACCATGATTCTTTCTATGTCATCCACTTTTTTATTTCTTTCTTTTGTTCACTCCTCCCTTCTTCTCTTTATTTCTTTCAGAAAAGGCACAAAATACAGAGTTGGTGACACATGGTTTAGAGTTCTCTTTCCCTCACTTGCTTGTTATAGGAAATTGATCAAGTCACCTTATCTCTCTGCACCTGAGTTTTGTACTTGCAAAAATGGGGATAAAGCCACTTGTCCTACTTACAGAGCTTTTGTTAGACCAAGTAGGAAAACTGTTAATGCTCAATAAACTATAAGGTATTGGGCAAATACAGGCTTTGTTGATTTAATGCAGAAGAGAGCCAGGTATACCTGTATTCAGTTTCTGCATTTGCTACTTAACTAGCTTAGTTTAATCTTAGTTTCTATGTATGTATAAATCTGATAACACCAACTTTGTGATTGTAAGGGAGAAATAAGATAATTTTTATGTATCTCTGTGAAGTAAATAGGGGTACATTTTATCCCCCTTTCTTAGATGAAACAGTTGAGGCTCAGGGTTAAAATACTTTGGTCAGGATTATACAAGTGAGAAGTGGGACTGTCAGAATAAAATCTTGGTATCAAATATTGGTTTTATGTTTTAGATAATTTATATCAGGTAATTTTAAAGAAAGAATTCCTTTTATGTTTGAAACATTATATATATATATATATATATATATATATATATATATATATATATATATATATATATTTATATATATATATATGAATACAAGCAGATGAGACCCATAGAAGCATTGATTTGTAACACTCAGATTTATTTGTTCTTTTGCATTTGTCCAGTATTATTTTATTGTCAGCTAGTACAAATTTTAAAATGTGGTCTTATATCAAGTTAGTGACCCAGGAGAAGGGAGACACTAATTGGCTCCCTTTTCAGTTATTGTGCTGGTTGATTCACAAGGCCTACATTAATGAGCAATGTATATTAGAATTTTCAAAATTCTAGTTGATGGCTTCAGTAACCTATTAACCTAGGACATATGGTGGGGTTCACTTGTAGTTTTATAAATCCATGTCTCCAGCTTTGCTTTGTGGTACACTTGACTGGTTATAATTATTTTTTTTCCTATGGAAACTTCCTTGATTGTCAGTACATCTCCAAGGGCATAATCATGATATATTAAAAAATAATCATGTAAATTATAATCATCTTACATTTTCCAGAATATTTTTAATGATGAGGATTTTTCTTTTTAATTATCGATTGGGACTTTCCTGGCTTGAGATAAAATAATCATATGCAAATTGTTTTATTTTCTATACTCTCAGTTTAAATACAGAATTATAGCAAGACTTGATATTGGGGCATAACAAGAAAGTAATTTATATTTCTGCCTTGGAGAAGTTTTTTGCTTAAATTATGCTAAGCCCCTAGAAATTTTTAAACTGAAGTATGGTAAGGTGGGAAATTTTTACTTATTCATTGATACATAAAATAAGTATACAGACTGAGAACGGAAATTATTTGATTTTGAGATTATAAGTATATACTCCTAACAACCATACAAATAATATGAAGGGGCTCCTGGGTGGCTCAGTCAGTTAAATGTCTGACTCTTCATCTCAGCTTGGATTGTGATCTCAGGGTCATGAGTTTGAACCTCACATTGGACTACTTAAAAAAAGGGGCAAGAAATTCAAGTTTTTTTTTTCTAATTATTTTTATTAACATATAATGTATTATTTGCCACAGTGGTAAAGGTCTTGAATCATAAATCTTACACACTTAACAGCACTCAGCAGAGCACATACTCTCCCCAATGTCCATAACTCAATCACCCTCTCCATATCCCTCTCCGCCACCAACCCTCAGTTTGTTTTGTGATATTAAAAGTCTCTTATGGTTTGTCTCCCTTCCGATCCCATCTGATTTCATTTTTTCCTTCCCTACCCACCAGATACCCCACTCTGCCTCTCAAATTCCTTATATCAGGGAGATCATATGATAATTATCTTTTTCTGATTGGCTTATTTCACTCAGCATAATACCTTCTAGATCCATCCATGTCATTGCAAATGGCAAGATTTCATTTCTTTTGATGGCTGCATAGTATTCCATCATATATCTATCTATCTATCTATCTATCTTCTTTATCCATTCATCTGTTGATGGACATCTAGGTTCTTTCTATAGTTTGGCTATTGTGGGCATTGCTGCTATAAACATTCAGGTGCACGTGCCCCTTTGGATCACTACATTTGTTTCTTTAGAGTAAATACGAGTAGTGCTACTGCTGGGTCATAGGGTAGCTGTATTTTCAACTTTTTGAGGAACCTCCATGCTGTTTTCCAGAGTGGCTGCACCAGCTTGCATTCCCACCAACAGTTTAGGAGGGTTCCCCTTTCTCCACATCCTCACCAGCATCTATCATTTCCTGACTTGTTAATTTTAGCCATTCTGACTGGTGTGAGGTGATATCTCATTGTGGTTTTGATTTGTATTTCTCTGATACCGAGGGATGTTGAGCACTTTTTCATGTGTCTGTTGGCCATCTGGATGTCTTCTTTGCAGAAATGTCTGTTCATGTCCTCTGCCCATTTCTTGATTGGATTATTCTTTGGGTATTGAGTTTGGTAAGTTTCAAGTGTTGTTTTAACATTATCATTTATAATGTTGAAAAGAGTGTATAGCCATGTCTTTTGTGCTGACAGTGACAGAAGTGCAAGCTTTAGTTGTATTAACATACTTACGTTAAAAAGCAGTGCTTGTGGTTTTTCACCACATGTACATCTCTCATAATTTACATCCCTCCTCTTTTAAGTTTTGATCAGAAGATTTCCTCCATGTTATTCTTGAAATAGCAGGCTCACTTTTTTGATCAGAGGATGGGTCTCAGCAGGGTAACTGGTAGCAAAAATTCAAAGCGTACTTGTGTCTTGTTTCTGACCACTCTCCTAGAAATACTTTGTAGCCTTCAGGGCAGGAGAATGTTCAGATCCATTTCAAGAAGTTGTCTTCTTGTGCAGTGTTCACATTAACTTTGAAAAAGTTACATGTTTAAATATTTTTAATAGTTTGATCTATAGTATATGTCATTTTTCATAGTATTCAATATTATTGGAATGATTATTTTTATTTTCATAATACCAGTGAAGCTTATTGAAAGGGCACATTAATCTACACTAAGAGTGTCTTGACTTCCAAATCAACCACAACCAATTAACTTATTCACAATTATGTTTCTAATGGTCCAGGTCTGGTTTCTTGCCCAACTGAGACCTATTTTCTTTATAGTGTGGCCCAGTAAAATAGCCAAGAAGTAGATTCAAGTCCAATTAGCTTTACTGTTTCTCTAGAATGATCTAAGCATGAAGCCACCCCTGTAGATAATAAACTGTTATCCTGGCAAAATTATTACTTACAGATCTTACACCCTCAAGTGTCTTGGTTTAGATGAGCAATTATATGTCACCTTACCAGTTAGGTAAGTATTGATGGTATCTTCTTTTCCTCTGACTTTCTTTTTCTTTTCAAAGCTTGGGGAAATCTAAAAACAATGGGATTTTAAGTGTCTTTCCCAAAAATATATAGGTCCTTATGACAAAGCTAGAATTTACCCTAGTTGTTTTTACTTAAGCCTTGAGCCTTTTCCAGTTTTGATTTTTAAGGATTTGTCCTGTGATTATTTATTGTTAGGTATATTCATTCTTTTTTTCCTTTACCTCTTTCCTTCTCTCATTCTTTCTTTGTATTCTTGAATATCTTCATGTGTAATACAAAGCATTTAGAGAAATTGAGATAAAGTGAGCCATACTAATTGTAAGCTATTTCCAAATAATGAGAAATTGTTGGAAATATTATCATCAGCCAGGTGCTGGAAAGCATTAAAAAGCTAGCAGCATAACTCTGTAGCCAGTTTGACCTTTGGAGGAAAATGTAAATTTGTCTTAAATTGGCCAGCCTGTGCCAGAGATGATCATTTTACTGATACTCTGACCATTTCTTTCAGACTGGTCACTCATAATTGATCCAGGTCTCATGTATAACAAATTGAACTCTAGGCAAAATAATTTTAATTGTTTTTCCAATTGCTATCAGCTCAGAAAATCAATATGTGCCTCTAGAAATTAAGGTAGCTAGCAAGAATATTTTGTTCATGCTAGGTAGTAATTTTCTTTTTCTGTGTTGGCCAGATTTTTCTAGATATGACATTTGGTTCAGGAGGACACACAAGAGCCATTCTACAGAAGGAGTCAGACATTACTCTGTATGCCTTAGACAGAGACCCAGCAGCTTATGCAATAGCTGAACAGTTTTCAGAATTGTATCCGTAAGTAATTCTCTTGTATAATTATTGAATTTTGGTGCTGAGTTTTAAAGAGCTGGGCTTACCATTTTGGAATTTGTTCTCCCTTGTATGTTGTTATACTTCACTCTGCTACATATTTTCTCTCTTTTTTCCCCTGAAGGAATTAATGTAAATATTGTTTTTAGTACCAGTTAAAATGATATTACTGCCTTTATCCTTCCTGAATACATAAAAAGAAATAAAAAAATGACTTATGGCTAAAATTTGAACATGGGTTGAAGTCCATCCATGGGTAATATTTTGACAGTAGTTTAAGAAATAATTTTTAAAGAATTTACGAGTTATAGTTTCTAAGAATTTACTGGTTAAAGTAAGTAAATATGTGAGAATAATGCAGATTCATTAGGTCACATACATCAATGTAATGCAGTTGTTTTCTCTGAATTCTTTTTGAAATTCACAAGTAAATTTAGAGCACTCTATATCCCTCTGACAAGAATTAGGTGAACTTTCACTGTGGAACCTTTTAAGAATGTAAAATATTGTCTTCATGAGTTGTTAAATCATCTTTCTTTAGAGAAAATTTTGGATTAGTGGATTATGCTGTGTTGTTTAAAAATTACTGGTCTGAAAAAGGGAAATGTCTTGGCGCTAAGTTGACTACCCACAAATAAGTATAGGGCTGTTTTCAAGAATAAGGAATTATTCTCTCATGCTTCATAGTCTGAAATCAAGAAAATAGATGAGAATTTTAGAGGTAGATTTTGACTTGATGTACACCAGAGTTTTTTGGTAGTAGTAACTGTCCAATAATGAAAAAGTCTGTTTGGTGAAGTAGCAAAAGTATGACCATGGAAAAGTTTAATCACAGACTAAAGATAGGAAGTTGAATTACTTGTCTAGAATAGTCTTTTTCAACCTCTCAGGTCCCAAACTCTTTGCAAATCTATCAGTGTGATTAATTCTCCCAATAACAATTAAATAAATACACCTAGATTTTTGTTTGGAACATCCCAGGGTTCAGTGGAAGTGCCTGAAATCCACTTGACCCCAGGTTTTTTTCTTCTAAGAAAAATATGAGGATATGGTTTAATGATGTGATACTTTAAAAAAAAAAAGCAAAAAAACAAAAAAACACACCTATCTCTGTTATTCTGTAATGTGACTTACATGCATCTTCTTTAGGAAGTTTTTGTAATTCTAAGGCATTCATAATGGTGAAACATCTTAAGAGTTCACCTAATTATGACCTGAGTGTTCATAGAATGAATATAGATCTCTATTATATTTCACTATCATAGAAAAACTAGATTTTCTTAGATATTATTATTTCTAAAGGCAGTAAGTTCCAGTTCAGTTTTTCCAAGGTCTCTTATTCCTTCAAAAAGCCTCCTTTTCTCAGAAGGAGCTTAAAATTTTATCAGTTTTCTCAGGTGTCTCAAGAATCTTGAGACTATATTCTCTTTTCAGTTTACATTTGTAGAAACTATTAGCTTAGCTTAAATAATTTGCTGAAAGGCATATATGAATAAACAGAGATAAAGCTGGGACCCCATCACCTAATAATCTTTTTTTTAAATTGAAGTGTAGGTGATATACTATGTTATAGTAGTTTCAGGTGTACACAGCATTTCTACACGTTACTCAGTGCTTACCGTGGTAAGTATAGTTAGCATCTGCCACAATACAGCATTATTAAAATGTTATTGACTCTATTCCCTATGCTGTACTTTTCATCTCTATTACTTATTTATTTTGTAACTGAAAGTTTGTACCTCTCAGTCTCCTTTACCTACTTTACCCATCCTCCCACCCACCTTTCCTCTGGCAACCACTAGTTTGCTCTTTGTTTTTAGGAGTCTGTTTTTTCTTTGTTCATTTTTTTCTTTTTTTACTTATAAGATTCCTCACATAAATGAAATCCATATGATATTTGTCTTTATCTGTCTCACTTATTTCACTTGGCATTAATACCCTCAGTTCTATCCATGTCGTCCCAATTGGCAAGATTTCATTCTTTTTTATGGCTGAGTAATATTCTATTGTGTATATATGTGTATATATATATATATATATATATATATATATATATATATATATAATACATATCTGGACACTTGGGTTGCTTCCATAACTTTCCTATTATAAATAGTAATGCAGTAAACATAGAGGAGCATATATCTTTTGAAATTAGTTTTCATTTTCTCTGAGTAAATACTCAGCAGTGGAGTTACTAGGCTGTATGATATTTCTATTTTTAATTTTTTGAGGAATTTCCATACTGTTTCCCACGGTAGTTGCACCAACTTACATTCCTGTCATCAGTACAGGAGCATTTCCTTTTCTCCAAATCCTCCCCAACACTTATTATGTTTTGTCATTTTGATACTAGCCATTTTGACTTGTGGGAGGTGATATCTCATTGTGATTTTGATTTTCATTTCTCTGATGACTAGTAATGTTGAACATTTTTTCATGTACTGTTAGCCCTCTGTATGTCTTCCGTAGAAAAAATATCTTTTCAGGTCCTCTGCCCATTTTAAAATTGGATTGTTTGTTTTTTTGGTATTGAGTTTTATAAATTCTTTATATATTTTGGATATTAACCCCTTATTGGATACATCATTTGCAAATGTCTTCTCTCATTCAGGAGGTTGCCTTTTTGTTTTGTTGATGAATTCCTTTGCTGACAAAAGCTTTTAGTTCCTCTCACTTTGATGTAGTCCCAATAGTTTATTTTTGCTTTTGTTTCCGTTGCCTGAGGAGGCATATCCATAATAGATATGTTGCTAAGGTGAATGTCTGAGATTCCTTCCTTTGTTTACTTTTAAACTTAGGAGTTTTATGGTTTTAGGTTTCACCTTTAGGTCTTTCATCCACTTTGAATTTATTTTTGTGGGTAGTGGTCCAGTTTCATTTTTGGCACACCAAAAATGGCTCTCCAGTTTTCCCCAAAACCATTTATTGAAAAGACTGTCTTTCCCTCATGATATATTTCTTACCTCCTTTGTGATAGATAATTGACCACATAATCATGGGTTTATTTATGGGATCTCTGTTTTGTTCCAGTGAGCTATATATGTCTATTCTTGTGCCAGTACCATACAGTTTTATTACTATAGCTTTGTAGTATATCTTGAAATCTGAGATTGTGATTCCTTTGGCTTTGTTCTTCTTTTTCAAGCCTAATAACCTCATTTTATTAAGTTTCATACTACCTTGACTCAAATCTTATTGAAAATTTTTTAGTTCTTTGGAAGATAATTCTTTGCCAAGTATAATAAATTAGTTAAGGAACAATAGAATAAAACAAAATAAGGCAAGAAGAATTAATATGGATGAAAACCAGAATGAAAGCAACTGAAAAGAAAAAAGAATAAAGAAATCCAAGTGATCATTCCAAAAACATGTGATTAAGATTGAAGAGGACACCAACCATGGATACAGGATAAGTTAATCAAAAGATAATACAATCATAATTCTATGGTAACATGTGAAACATCAATGAAATGAATAGTGTCCTAGGAAATATAAATTATTAAAATTGACTGAATAATTATAAAACTTTAATAGGTCATTACCAGAGAAGAGATAGGAAAAGTAACTAGAGTACATAGAACAATGCACCATGACAAGATTTGCAGTTCTTACCTAGGTCTTAAAAAATAGGAAAGAGCGGGGCGCCTCGGTGGCTCAGTGGTTTAAGCCTCTGCCTTCGGCTCAGGTCATGGTATCAGGGTCCTGGATTGAGCACCACATTGGGCTCTCTGCTCAGTGGGGAGCCTGCTTCCCCCTTTTTCAGCCTGCCTCTCTGCCTACTTGTGATCTCTGTCTGTCAAATAAATAAATAAAATCTTTAAAAAAATAGGAAAGAGCATTGCGTTTTATACTATTCTTGATCATGATAAGAATGTAAAGCTTTTAAGTTCATTTTATATTGAATCTAGCATAGTTTTATACTTAATCCTGCTAGATGTAGTATAAAAGAAGAGAAAAAGTCTAACCTCACTGAAGAATATAAATGTAGAATGCAAAAGGAAATACTAGCACATCTAATTCAGGTATCATTTAGTTGAAAGAATAATACCTATGACCTAGTTAAAAGAATAATGCCTAAAGAATACAGAGATGTCTCCAGGTCAGCCAGCCAATCAATGACAGATTGGTAAGCATGACTGTAATCAGCTAGATAATAATATTAAAATCTCTATGTTAAACAGGAATATAACTATTTAAATGTAAAATATTCTATCATCTAAGGACAAACAGCAGTTATTTTCCCAAAAGGTGAAATACTATAACAATTTAAGTCAAAATCAGGATGTAAACATGGATTAGCCTCTATAAATACTACAATCAGTATTTTTGGAAGATCTGGCATATAGAAGTAAGAAGCTAATTACGATATTCTTCTTGTAATGATTTGACCAAAAGACTTATAAAATTAATAAGTTGATACAATAAGTTGGCTAGGTAAAATTTTAAAAATATTCTTTGTAGTAAATATTTGGGAAGGAAATAGGAAAAAAAATCCATTCTCAAAAAAGTACTGAGAATTACATAGAATATTTAGTAATAAATTTTATAAGAAAGGCACAGTTACAAATTAAAACAAAAACTTTCTGATTTTATTAAAGGACATACAAGATCGAACAAAAGAGAAATCTTGTTTTGGGGTAGTATGCATTCATATTATATAAAAAAAAAGTTCTCCCCAAATTTAATGTACATCTAGGAATTATTTTAATTGATTTAACTGATAAATCCTGTTTTTAATTTATATAATATGAAATATATATGGTTGGGAGAGTGACAGATTTTTGAGGGGAAATAAAAAAGTGAGGGGAAACTTGCCTTACTAGATGTCGGATCATACTTATAAAATCACTGTAATGAAGTCAGTATAATATTGACATGAGAAAAGGTAAGTAGACTAGTGGAAGACAGAATTCAGATACAGATTCAACAATATAATAGATATATGCTATACTATAATATAATTTAATAGAAGGGGAAGATAT